AAGTTTATAAGGCCTCTCAAGTCATTACTATATTAAATTAAGTTAGATGCTCTAAATATAGTATTGGAGTTGGGCCTTAGATGATCAGTGGGTCAAGTCTCTTACCCATTTAAATCTCCCGGTATACATGTTTGACTGTTCATTTGTTAGCCCCCACTAGCAAGCTTGGGTCCCACATGAGAGAGAGTGTACAGAGAACTTGTATTCCACATCGAACGATTAGAACAACTCAGGGTTAGTTTATATGCTTAAAAGGCCTCTCCACTCATATCAATTGATTTTGGATTGGATACTCTAACAGTCCCAACATTCTATTAAAAAATGAACATGAAAAAAGTTGGATTTTTCTACCTTAGCAATCCAATACATGTTGGAGATGTCCCCATGCAAAATAAGAGCTGGAAGAAGCCAAGGGCAACAAAACTGTATGAAATTAATAGGTTCCACATTCAAGACAAAAAGGCCCCTTGTCTGCAAAGAAGACAATAAATTATAAACAATTATTGGTCACTTATACATCCGCAGTCGTGGTCAGAGAATTCGTACTGGATAAAAGTTGACCACATTTACCTCAACAAGAGCAACTAAGCTCACACCACAAGCTACCCAGCAAAAAAGAATTTGCCCCATTAGTTCCTCCATATACTGAAAAATTTTAGAAGGTCCACACAAGACGAATTTATATTAGAGCCAATTGGTCAAGAGATTTGACCAGAGACTGCTTTCAGGTGGAAATTATATGAGATTGGCTCTCTAATGACAATTTCAAAATAAATCATAGGTGTGCATTCAAATGAGACCACAACAACGTTAAGAGAGAAAGGACATTAACCACCTTTGTCCGTGTAGTATACTGGAGCTGTCTTGATAGGTTATCAAGCACTGCACCCACCAGTTCCCTAAATTCACAATATCACTATTGTTAACAGACAAAATACAACCAATCTCTATGGAAAGCTAGGTAAAAAAAAGTTACCTCTGACAAGGATCAATTGCAGCAACTACACACATCATAAAAACAGCCTGCATATGACATTTGGATATCAGTGACATATACTAGCGCACAACTTTTTAATACATCCAAAGTGAGAAAATGAAAATATTAAAGAAAAGAGAAGTATAATTCGAAGGACTAACGTATCACAAAAACAATGTCACAACAGGCTAGCATCACCAGTTTAACAACTGTGTATTTTTGCTTCATGTTAGCCCAAACTTTTCAAAAGCAACAAAACAAGAATAAATAGAGTTTGAATCATCAAGCAAGCAGAGTTTAATTGTCTCATGCAACAAAACAAGCATCACAAAAATCACGATTAAGATAAAAAAAAGCTAAGAAAGCAAGGTTAATACATGGGCATCGTGGATTGTATGCTACACTTACTAATCCATGACATGTGTTCAAGCCTAAAAATAAAACAGACTAAAGGACAACAGAGTATAGAACACTTAAACACATCAGAAATGACAGAAGTTCATGAGTACAAATTTTGAGTGAAAGCAGGTAAGCATTGGCATTCAGAAAGTTATGAACTCCACACTTAGTGTTTTGGTCAAAAAATACTTGCTTCTGAATTTAAATAGAAATCCTCCCTTTGATACTAAGATAGAATGTGTTATGTGGCATTACCACATTATAATTCCATGAAGCCAACATTCCATATCAGCCAACCTATTAATTTCTCAGGCCTAGCAGAACCATCAGTCCATGGATATTTAAAGAAATGGAGAATGGTAGAATCAATGCATGCATCCTTTGAAGTTTTCTAGTTGTTTTGCTGAAGTTCATAATTTAATTTATAAGGTTTAGTGTGGCTTGATTGGCTATTACTTCTCAAGTCAATCAAAAATCGCACTGCTTTGTGTAGTATTTTATGGAAAAGTTGTCCAGATTTTTCATTTTATTGCGAAGAGAAGATTTTTGTGGTATTAACTCCCAAAAAAAGTATACAAATATACCTCCAACTCTATTTTCTCACTGTGTAGTGCAATATGCATGAGAGTAATAATAATGGTTTCCATCGTTGGACGAGGCTGAGGACCAGCAGCTAAAACCTCCTTAGCAGTAACAAGTTCTTTTTTTGAGGAAACAACCAACTTTGCACCAAAATTTGAACTGAAATAACAGAAGAAGAAAAGTTAGATCATTTAACAATTCAAGGTTATCTCAAATGTGAAAACCAAGTGCCATGTCACTCGTGTTTACATTGAAAGAAGGCAATACAAAGAGTTACATGTCATAGGCACAAAATAAAGGATAATACACTAAAGAAGGTTCCAAAATACCCTTTAGAAAGCTTATAAACCAAAAAGAATTTTATGATGAGTTGTGCCATACAGCATAATTGCTCATAAGTAATTTGCAGAAACTAAAACCAAAAGGAAACACTTGGCTAACAATATCTTAAAAAAGCAACAAAGCGAGCCAAAGAAGGTGGTATCTAATGCCGCAGAGCCACAGGGCTGCTTTACATACCTGAATAGTTGATACTTAAAGAATATGCACCACTAAGCTTATTTAATATTCTGTTAACTTTCAAAATTCTGACTGACAATTTAAACCCTTCACGAATGAAAATTATATGTTAAGAAAGAGGCATCATATCTACAACCTAGGAGTTTTGGTTGTTGCAGTATTATATTTTTCTGTCCACCTTTGTAGGACTTCTGCTGTGCTTGTACTTCTTTCTAGGAGTAATGCCTGTTGTTTTCAATTCATTCTTCTATCCAAAGAGAGAGAAGGCAACGATTAATTAGATGGATCTGCATCCAAGTACATTTCACTTTTTACAGTCTTCAAAAAAGAGTAATGTGAATATGGATTGCGGCACCCATTTTGGCGCTTTTGATCAATTTTGTTAGGGGGCGGGATTCCAAATATTCTTGAAGGTAGATTCTCACTACGAAATAGTGAATGAAAATAATTTGAGGACGGCAAATGTGGGGCACAAAGATTAAAAGAAAAAAATAAAATGAGATAAAAGGTCTTATTCTGGTTGTATAACCAGATATTGATACACGAAACAAGTATGATAAGGTTCCGAACATTGAGGTTGAAAGTACGAAACAAGTGTTATACACTGAGATGGCATTAAGCTTAACTTAGATATAAAAACCAAAATGAAATGGTAAAGACACAAAGTTGTATGCAACAATGCTGGAAGCCCATAAAACCGACATAGAACAAAAGTACAGGATATGTGCTAATATTTTATCAGCAAGTAGTAGTTGTCCAGTGTCGGTGAGTTTCTAGATTAGAGCAAATACTTTAAGGTGCATCTCTTGGGATTTGAATGACCTTACTGCACTTCCCATTGCAATTAATGTAAAAATTCTACTCTTGAAGTGGAGCCATTCAGAAGCTGGAAACTTCCCCATATTCATTGCTGGGCGATCAAATTTCAACTTCGAAATATCCAATTCCAAAATCATTTGCAAGATAGGTGCCATTTTCCAGATGGCTTTATTCAAGATACTACAATTTTTCCTTCAAATTCAATATAAATTTTTTATTAGCCATTCAATTTCCATGAGACCCCATAATACAACCTCAGCAAAAGGCAGGCTTCAGGTTCAAGTTAACGTGTACTTGCAAAGCAAAATGACATGAAACGGATTATCAGATCCACAAAATAGAGTATGAGCACAAGAAGGTTGAGTTGGGGAGAATGATACAAAGAGATGGAAAACAAAAGCAAAACATTGTCTCAAAAGCATCAGAGCCAAACAATATATAATATAATGTAGACACAAAAACTGTCCAACAAACCAGATTAGATAGGCTGAAAAATACGGATTCGTAACAACCCACCATATATCCTGGAAGAGCTCATCATGACCATCCCATGTTTGGAAAAGGACACCAATCCGTCTTCCCAGGGAAAACCTAACTCGATAATCAGGATCTCGGAGCATCAGCAGCAGCTTTTCAATCATGGTCTGGTTAGGTGTGCACCACACCAACCATGCAACAAATGTTTAGAAGTAAAGATCAGTGCCAATGTTTAAAAGAGAGCCAAGCAAACAAGATAAAAGTGGAAGAAAGTCTCCCATCAACTACCAAAAAGGTGCATATCTACTCAAATCTGTAACAACACAAAAAAGCTATCTCTATTCCGACAGCTGCTAACCTGGCCAATGTGAGGTCTAAGTAATATGAAATTGCAAATGCAATCAATCAGCTTAACCCGACCGAACCAGTGAAAAAGATCATTTTCAGCAACTTTGCTCACCAAATCTCCAAGAGATATCAAGCTCTGCAAATCAATATCAGGAGTAACTGGATTAATATTGTCGCCGTTACAATATCTGATAGACCCCAAAAAAATAAGGGCAGCAGATTAAAGAAGCAAGAAACTGGAGGAAGAAGACAAGAATAAGAAACTCTGAAACAGTTAAACAACCATCTACTCCAAATGCTTAAGTTGTTGGAAAATGTGCAACTTAAGCATTTATATTTCAACACACACCCTCTCAAGCAGTTTAAGTTTTTTGAGTAGATGATGGTTTAGCATGGCATCAGAGACAAAATGCCATTTAGGTCATTATGAAGTTCCAACAAAACCAAAGACTTGTGACAATCATCCATCCAAAATAAATATTTGATAAACACCAGTCAAGGTAACAACATTTATCAGTAGAAGTAATGGAGACAAGGAGAGTTAAAATAGCATGTCAACAAAGAAGATGAGTCAGAATAGGGTTGAGAGTTGGGAACCCTTTTTCACCAAACAATTAGAGCACCCAACTAATTCTAGCAGACACTATAAATGCCCAAAACCTGAGATGTGCATAAAAATAGGCCACTTATCACCTTCTAAAAATTATTTGTACTCATCCAAATATTTCAAACTCAACAACAAAAGTTAAAGAAGCCACTTCAGAAATGATCTCGCACCACTGTCTTTTTCTTTAACATATATTAGTAATTTTCCAAACCATACAAATTTATGATAAATGTTTGATGTTTTCTGCAGCCAGCAATGCTTGCTTGTCAATCACATTAGCAAACAACTATAAACATTCATCAAGTCATCTTTAGGAAAACATTCCACCACTAATAATCTTCCAAGAAAATATACCAACAAAAAATTCATGGAATCATACAAGGAAGAAGTTTGGCTAATCTAGAAACTAAGCAACACAATTAATCATTTTTTCTCACCATCACTTGGACAAATATAGACTCTAATTACCATCAAAAGAGATGACAACAAAGAGAGGTGAACATGAAGATGAATTTTACTAATGTCTTCTTTCCCCTTAATTTGGTATATAATTCCTCAAAATGCAATATAACCACTACCACGTCAAGTGTTATTTTAGACTCTGGATGCTTTTCTTAACCTTCCTACAATTGGTTTCTATAAGAACTTTTTAACATAACGGGAAACTTAGAACGTCCAAGATGATCAAACAATGCAAGTGGAAAGAGAAATCAAGCACTATTAGGTTTTCAAAAGCTAACGGGTGGAATGCTAATGGGGTTGAAACAAGCTCTTTCTGGAGTCCGTAGAGATTTATTTGTCTGGGGTTACCTTGCTTTTCAAGTAAAATTCATTGTGGGAGATGGAACCGAGTGCGTTTTTAGGAGGATATATGGGTTGGGGAATCTTCTTTCTCAAGTCTCTTTCCACGTTTGTATCGTGTTTCTGATTATCATAATTCATTGGTTGTATCTATGGTTAGATAACATTCGAGTCCAATTTCTTGGGATTTTGATTGCATAGGAATCTCAATGATCGGGAAGTCTCAAAGCCTATGAGCCTTCTTTCTTTGCTCAATAATATTACTTTGGTTCAAAATTCTGAGGATAGAAGATATTGGATTGGTCATTCTTCAGGATTATTTTCTTGCAAGTCGTTTTTTGAGTTTCTTATAGAAGATTTTTTGTTTCCTTTATTCTATCCATCATTGAAAATTTGGAAGGGACAGTGCTTTTAAAAGGGCAAGGTTGTGCATGGATAATTTCTCATGAGTCGTGAAAAGATAAGTACTAATGAGGTTCTTCAAAAGAGGAGACCTAATAATTGTCTTCAACTGCAATGGTGTGTAATGTGTAGAAGCGATAATAAGAGTGTGGATCATTTATTTTGTCTCCCATATTTGGTATCTCCCTCATCTAATCTTCTACTTCAATGATTTTCTCATTTATCCACCGTAGTCAGTATCTGCAATTAACAATCAAAACCCACAAGAAAATATGTTGCTCTACTAGTTGAGAATTTTCCACTTGAAACTAGATCATATTGTCAAACTAACATAGATTTCCCCAAAATGATTCCACTAGTGAACATTACTCTAATACTACATCTTTCAATCTCTAAGTTGTATATACATCTTTCATGCCATAAATGTCTCCAAATTTGTATCAAATTTAAACAATAGTACAACTTATTTGAATCGAAGCAGATGTAAAAAAAATCGAAGAACCTTACCTCATAGACTATCGAGGTAATGGAGTGTCATATTCAAATACAAACTTAGAAGAGCTTTATTCGCAGACCCAGACCCTTCTTATAGTTTGCCATAACCCTTCTTACAGCTTCACAATGAAGCTTCAATCGCAGACTCAGACCTCGAGAGCTTCACTGACAACTTCAATCGCAGTTGAGACTTAGAGTTGAGAAAGATCTGGGCTCCGACAAATCACTGAGTTAGGGATTTAAGTTAAAATAAGAGAGAAAGCGGGAGACGCTTTAGGGCTCCAAAAAATCTCTATGTTTTTAGGTTTTAGATATGGGTTTCGCTAATCGCTGGGAAAAGTGAGAGAGAGGGGGGCTAAGAGGGGTTAGGAGTGGGGGAGGCGTAGATGAGAGGGAGGGGCTTTAGGGTTCTTGCCTTCTAGTCTAGATCTGGATTCTTCGAAGATGAGAGGGAGGGGTTAGGAGTTGGGTTGGATTTGGTTTGGGTGTAGTGTAGGCGCTGGTCTGGTTGGGCTGGATAGATAGGATTTTAAAATTATACTAATATATTTTATAATTTAAAATTTATATATAAATTTATTATTTAATAAAAATCAGAGTCATACTTTGGAGTTTTTTCGGAAATAGTTTAAAACTCCAACTCCTATTGGAGTTTGGAATTTTTCTCCAACTCTGGCGGATTCGAAGTCTTGGAATTTCGGATTCTTGCACACCCCTAATCCTATTTATTAAAAAGATTTCCACGTGCCAGACCCAATGTTTAGCCTCCACGTGAGGAGATATGTTGAAGTATAAATACTTAATTTACACCCTCTCCAAAAGTTTAAATTTTTAAAGTAGATGGTTGTTTACAAGCACCGTTACTCTGATACCATCTTAATCCAACAACTCATCTAAAACCTTAAATTGTTAGAAATGATGCAATATAAATAGTTATATACATCAACAATCCCTACATCAAAAGGATAAAGATACATGTGCTGATGGTACCTGCTCGGGTACTCTTCCCCTTGAAGGCAGAGTATCATTCTCATTATCCGCAATCATGTCTAGTGATAAAAGGGTCTGCAGCAAACAACAGATGGCAGCAAGTATCTCTAGACACGGGAGTTTAAGGTTTGCTCTCAAATCTACAAGGTCATTCAATGATATAACCTGAGAAAAAGGACAAGCAGCACATAAATCAGCAATAATTATACAAAGACGCATAAAATCTTCAAGAAATAAGTAATTTGCAGAGTAGCTTATTATCCTTTTTAGTAAGTTTCTGCAATCAATATCCCATAAAATACAGTACCAGGTCTGAAAACTTTCGGGAAGACGACCATTGAGGATGTTGACAAAGATTAACTAGAAGATTTTCCAACACCTAATCAAAAATTAAAGGTTAAAAATTATGTATATGATTGTGAATAAATAAACATTAGAATGTGAGAAGACTATAAAATGTATGTAACATACTCTTGTGTCACTTTCTTTCTGCATAAGGTTGAACAAGGTTTCCCATGTAACAAATGGTAATATAGAGAAAAAACTTGAAATTAATGATATGATGTCCATCTTCCAATTCACTGCAGAAATGGATATGCCAGTGCCAATCGTCCTACCAATAGTGAAAAAATCCAGATCTTTAAAATCATCATTCACATCCAACTCCATGTCCAGAATCATACTTCTATTGGTATTTAGTTGGACAGAATCATGAACAGAAATGTTTGAGTCTGTTTTGTCAAGCTGGACAATCTCAAACTGAAGATCCCTTGAGCATTCAGAACTTTCATCATAAAGTTTAGCCAGAGCCTTCAAAAGCCTCTCAATGGATTGAATTATTGCAGTAGATAGTACACCATCAATAACATCTTTATCTCTCCATTTGTTAAAAAGAGGAGAGCTACCAAAGCTTTTGAAAGAAGCTACGATAGAGTCCATGCTATCAAAAGTAGAGTTAGAGCTCAAACAACCACATCTAACATCATTGTAAGTTTTTTCGATGATAGTAACAGCAAGATGCAGCAATTTTAGCAAGTACTGGCCCATTTTAAAGAGAAATGGCGAGGCTTCCTCACGTAACCTGAAAGTAATCAAAAGCATGAGAAGCATGCACAAACATAAGGAAAATATTAAACTACAAAAAATACAACTGTGATGACATAGAATAGAAATGAGACAACTCTTATCAGGAACAGCTTTCCTCGGATCAGTCTCACGGACAGCAGAATCCAACAGATCGCAAGAAATACCACATTCAACTTACAGAATCATCCGTAAAAACTTGTAACGTATCAGACATTAAAAATCATTGAAGGCCAGAAGCAAAGAGCAAAGAGCTCAGCCAGAAAAAGTATTAGATCTTGCAGGTAAAATTCAGCCAATACTTCGATCATGTGATTGAGAAAACAAAATTTCTAGTTAAGTATTGGCTTGTATGGTTATTCTAGGGATGACTCTAATAACTTATTCTACTCTTTCGTCTCTCCTCTGTATTCTTTCATTCTCTTCTTCCAGCCCAATTTTTATTTTCCAACTTCACATCAAAGCCTAGAATCGAGCACAATCAAACAATATAAGCCCTAAAAGCAGTGGACAATCATCTGAGGGTTGCTGAGGAAGAAATTGTATGGTCGTATGGCAGACGTCACATTAATGCTATGATGGCATGAACACACGACATCAACATGTGTGAACTATAAATCATGAACTGAATCATTATGCCGGCCTTAATGATGATTCTATGAATTTTTTGAGATCATTTACTTTTTATATTTTTTAAGTACTTTCCGGCTTTTCAGACCTATTTTTCAAATCTGCTTTTGGGACTTTCTGCCTTACTTCCCTTGACAATCTAAACAGAGGGATATGCCTAGCCCCTTCAGTAATGATTTCAATAGATTCAAGTTAACAAAAGCAGCATTTCACTATCATTGATATGTTGTGGGTATTGTGATCAATTATAGCTATTTTCATGATTGAAATATAATGCTGGGTGTGTTAGTGGTTTAGTTTGTCAGTGGTTCGCGGGGGCTGCAGCTTGTTATCTTCACCGGGAGAGAACTTTGCGGTTGTTATCTAGTGTGTGGGCATGCCAGAGGCTAGTATAGCTTCTATTGGCAGCGAAGGGAGTAGGTTGGGTTGTCCAGGGTGGGTATTTATCTTTTGCCTGAATAAAAAGATTACAATACAGAGAATGAAGCCTGCAACTCATGGAACTATCAATTCTGTGGGTATTTTTTATGAATTGGCTATGTCCAAGTATGATGCTAAGTGTATTGTTGATTAACCGTGATGGTTCGTGAGAAATTTATTCAGGGTGTAGCAGTTTGTTAACTTCTGTAAGTAAATTTTGTCGTCGTGCTCTACATTGTGTGGAAATGTCTCAGCCAAGTACTACTTCCATTGGCATTGAAGGGATTGGATTGAGTCGTGTAGGGACTCTTGCTGAGCAATTAATTCTATAGGTTTGTCTCGTAAATTGTATGGCAGCAATATTTGACGTGGTCAAGATTTTCTGCTTTGCCAATTGCCCCTCGTCATCTAAATGAACCTATCTAAAAAAGATACAAAAAGAGCCAGCAATGGCTGGAACTACACGTAATCTATGGCGTTCAGGGATTGTGGTGGTGATGCATGGTTAATTACTTCTATGTAGCCACCTATTGCTCATGGTTTTTTCATCTCTTGATACAGCATGGAAGATTTGAAATGTTGTTGCTCATACCTACTTGCAGGTAGGTAATGATGCTCAAGTCTATCACCTGCGAGAGAAGGTTCATGAGACTAAGCAGTGAAATATGACTATCACCCAATAATACACAGAACTCTATAGTATCGGCTGATTGCCCATCCGATGCTGCTAAGTTGCAAAAAGTGGTTGATAGGGAATGTACAATGATTATTTGGTTGGCCTTGCCTCAGCATGGAATTTGATCAAGTTCGTGCTCAAGCTCTCAGTAGAGAGCTGTTTTTCTACATGCATCAATTCAGCAAAACCAGACTAGGAGAACCATGATGCTTCATCCTATCTCACAGAACAGTTCGGATTTTCCTGTTGCTTTTGAAAATAGACACGCAAAGAAGGAGAATCTCAGCTTGATATTAAAGACTAGTTAAATTGTAACTCCTATGGGACAACTAAGTACGACTGAGAGCATTTTGCAAGCTACAAGGATATTCAAACAAAAGAAGTGGTGGACAAACAGATACAGTTAGATCACATGCTCATCTATCTGAGATATCAGAGGGCTCATCTTCATTAGTGTTACTGATACAGCTACTATCTCGAGGGAGGAACTGCAAATTCTCAGAAGTTTGATGCCCAATCTCGATTCTCAGTCATTCTAGTTCATCTCGCTTTACCCAAACAGTTATCCATGCTAGCACTTACAGTTTTACTTCCTTTTTTGTTTATGTTCCCCAGATCATCAATTCTAGAGCTATTGACCACGTGACAAGTTTGAAAAACAAAAGGCAGATGTGCAGAACTGACACCAACCTTACCTCATAAAAAAGAAATAGAAGGATGAAAATTATAAATTGAGCTCTCAGCATAACCAAATGTAGATATAGGACAGACCTTGTAATATCTAAACCGTAAATAAAGTTAGATAGGAGAGCACAGGTGAATATAACATCCGACAGAAGCATCTTCTCAGTATCCTTATCCACAAAAGCTTCAAGAAAGTAGGCTTCCATTTCCTGAAGCAATGGGTCACTTAACTGCCGAGGAAGCCGTACACTCTGATGGCATTGGGGTTCAGCAACCTGCATATTATCAATGATAACCAAAATTTAAAAATCAACCACAATACAAACAGTACCTTTTCACTAGAAGAGGAAGAAAAAAAAGGTGAATTAAAAAAATTAGCACCTCATCACCAGAACCAGGACTAATTTCTGCAAGGACGTCCACGGAGTATTCAAAAAATTCGCGCAAACCCTCATGCCCATGTTCTGCCTACAAATTACACTCTCTTAAATTCAATCTTCCAGCCAACATTGACCTGTATATATGAGATCCAAAGTACTGAAATGACTAGGACATACCTTCATCCTGTCCTCAGCAGCTTCAGGAACATCTGAAAAGGGGTTTGATGCAGAAAACCATTTGTCAGAATGAGCGAAAGGAGCACAACCAGCACAGAGAGCATAAACAGCTGCCGGCAACAATACAACCATCTGCTCATTCAATCTGGAACATTCCTACATAAGGGAGCATAAAAACAAGTGTGTTAAATGAAAGATAGGTTTTATGCCATTCACAGATAACATTAAAGACAATCAAGATCAATTTTTTTCTTTTTGGACAAAAGTTAAGAAGACCACATGCATGCATAGCCTATATGAAAAAGCAAATTAACACTTGTACCTAGCTGGAAAGATCTATAAATTATTCATTAAAATACATTTTCTAATTCTAGAATCAGAACCTGTCGTAGGAAATAATAACCATGATATACCATTCTTACACAACTAATGCAAAAATAAGACATGAATAAAAGCCTTTACCCATTCCCATGAGAACATGCACTGGCTTAACCAAGAAGAAGAAGAATAAGAAAGAAAGAAACCTTGGAGTTAGATAGGGCCAAAACTGCTCTCAAGAGATTTTGTCTGAGATGTGTAGTGTCTCGAAGATCACCCTACGGGTAGCAGAAAGTCATCAGATATGAAACACAACAATATTTCCGGCAATTTAGTTATTGAAGGATTTAAAGAACCCATTGAAGATGCAATGATTATAATTTCAAGCCCAAACAATACACATGCATATATACAGTATTAAGATTGATGAGGGAATAAATCTCAACCAGCACATACCCATCGGCAAACAAGCAAGCAAGAGCAAATTATTGTGCCATTTAATCAAAATGAAATGAAACTAAATGAAATAAATAAGCAGCAAACCCATAAAATGTTCAGCTAGCCTTGTCCAAAATAGGATCAATCCACCAAATACTCAAAATATCAGTTTAGCTCCAGGAAGCAACTACTTGGATCATAATCTTAGATCAGGAATTCTATATTTCCTCATATTAAGTTAATTTAGCCAATGAATCTGAAGATTGTTAATCTTGTATGAACTGAAGGAGTTACGAGAAGGCACACAAATACAGCGAAAAAAACCAGAATGGAAATTAGTGAAGTATGCCAACCAACTCGCAGACGAAGTAAAGTAATCATTATCACTTAGTAAAATTTTCTAATGTTAGCATAAGAAGCAGCACACAAGGAAAGAGGAGAACAGGAGCCTCCCATAACATGCGCAAAAGAATAGACTTTCACAAATTTCCATCAACTCTTGTTAGAGGATCTAATTTTGAAGGATAATAAGATGGATTAGGGTCAAACCCTAGGGTTCTACAAGGGTGGAAGTATCACAATGCTGATGACCCAAAAAAGAGTCGTAGTAAGAGGCAAGCACATGAGGCAACCCGGGGTCTGCGGGTGTGCATCGAAATGGAATAGAATGAAACTGAATGGGACAAGAAGCAAGCCCATAACATGTTCAGCTAGCCTTGTCCAAAGTCCAAACAAGGATCAATACACCAAAAATCCAAGCTCAGTTTATCTCAGGAAAACAACTGTGTGGATCCTAATCCTTCATCAGGAAATCCATATTTCCCCATATCAGATTCATTTAGCCACCGCCGAAGACTGTCAATCCTGCATGAACTTGTTAAAATGGAAACAAGCAGGCATACAAATGCATCTGTTATGAAGTGTGCCAACCACTAAAATGGATATTAGTGAAGTGTGCCAACCACACGCAAACGAAGTAAAGTTATCGTCTGTTACTCGTTAGAATTCCTAATGTTAGCACAACAAGCAGCACACAAGGAAAGAGGAGAACAGGAGCCTCCCACATCATGAGTAATTGTACAAACTTTCATAAATTGTCATCAACTCCTCTTGTAAGAGGGGCTAATTTTGAAGAATAACAAAATGGATTAGAGTTAGACCCTAGGGTTCTACAAGGGTGGAAGAGATAGAGGAGAGAGCGCAGAAGATACAGTGTCGTGAAGAGTGACCAACTGCAAAGA